TACAGACTGTGTATAACCCACTAGAATCAACTTTTACTTCAACTTGAAACCTTTGGCCTACCTATATAGTTTTGAAATTTGATACAACATTCAATAAATCATTTTAAACACCAAAGTGGAGATAAAATTTTTACATTAAAAAAATACAATTGATCAGAAATTGTTTCACATTGAGGAATTTTCATCATGTTAGACCCAAATAACATGAATAAAAAACCAACAAATGCAAGGGCTTCTACCAAACATCAATTTAGTAAAATAAAGTGCAATAGCAATTTGAAATTCATAATGAAACTAATATGATAAAACAAAATTTTCACAAAATAGTATAACTTACTTCAAGTAATAGTCTAGAAGTTTGTATCAAATCTGATATTGTTTTTTGGATAGAAGGAATAGTCTCTGGAGTTTCTTCAACTACCTCAAATTTTGTTGTAAGTAATTGAGGTTGAATATTGAAGCTACCAAACCTAACCAAAAAGCAGTATCTAACTAAATAAACAATCTATCTATATATTAAAAAACTTAAGAAATGATAGAAATCTTATATATATGGAGGAATTTAAAAACCTATCTAGATATTGTTTCACTTCAAGGATGTCAAGATTAACATTGATCTTTGTTAGATACATGCTAGCTCCATGAATTTCTCCTTGTAAATTGTATTTAAATTGGTCAACAAATGTAAAATAAAATTCATTAATATAAAAGTTTGTAAAATGAGTTATACTATCAAATTGTTTAGTAACTAAAAAGGTAACAATAATAATTTATGTTGAATCTTTTTTCCAAAGTTTTAACTCTCATATTTGCTAATTAGCTTTTCCTCATAGATTAATAAAAAACTCTACTTTCCGACAAAATATTAATAATGTATCAATTCTTAATCAACATGAACCCACATGATAGACCCTATAAAACTTTGCTTCCTTGTAAGATTTTTATCAATTAAGTTATAATTTCATTCCATTCTTAAATTATAAAGCTCATCTATTATAACAATTCACCAATGAATCAAGCCATAATCTCAAAGCACTCTCATTAGATATAGAAAACATTGATAATCAAATTTGTTTTACTTATTTGTTTTTCCCTGTTAATTAATCAAATTTAGAAGCTACCAATGGTTCAACACTAATTTCAATCAAATAGCAGAAAAAAATGTTATCCAAATCATAGATAAATTCAAATTTTTATCCATCATACAACCAACAAAATTAAATTTCATATAGTAAACCAACATAGAAGAAATAGAGATAAAGATGAAGAGTCTAACCCTCAATCCATTTTAGATGAAATAAACAAATACTATTAAAAACTTATAATTGAAAATCCATTAGTATTATTATCACTTACTCAAAGTCCATCAACCAAATTTTACATGGTAACTTTGATCCTCAAGCACCGTTGCCTACCTCCACATCATCAATTTTGGTTAAAACACTAATTAGATCTACATAAGACACAATATAACAATCTCATTCACTGAAAATTAATTGTATGAAGTAAGTATGAAAACTTTTATGAAAATCTTAGTCTAAAATAAACAAAAGAACTTAATAAAAACCTAAGTACTTGTTAGATATGTTAGTTGATGCAGCCTATCTTTGCACTCTTGAAAGGACTTGAATTCAAATTTATGAGGTAATATTGAAGCAACATTTTCACTCTCAAGAAAGAATTGGGTAGCACCATTAACTTGTATTGTGATGTTAAATGAAACAGGCCTATAATTCAAACACTACACACACCCGAAATTGGTGATGGTATAAATTTGACCTTCTTTCAAATTTTTTCATGAGTTTGGGTATACTTTCTCTCCATGACAATGTGAATAACATCACTCTATAGAATTGGGTTTGCAATGACATCAAAACTACAATTTATATAAAAAGAATTGAAACCTAAACAGGTAATCAAAATCAAAAACTTTCCACACCTTTTCATCTATTGCCACAGCATCAAGACTCAAATCATTCTCATCCTTAGCATCAATACTTGCATTCCAAATTTGACTTAATCAAACACGTATTTTACTTCTAAATTTATTCCTAACTAAAGAGTTGATATACTTTCTTCCCTTTCCATTTTAATCGAATGAAAGCAAGAGGAATTGTTTTTGTAAAACCAAATCCAAACAGAAACTGGATGAAATAAGGGAGCATTTAATGGGTAGTTTTCTGCATTTAAAAACTAATCTTGCAAATCCACTCGAAAACCAAAAAGAAACCCAGCAAATTATGGATGGAAATAGCATAGCTAAGCAAGTTAGAGGTAGTTTCTAACTATTCTTGAATAGTAGAAGAATGTGGCAATGGGAAAACAATCACAACAGAAAATAAAAGCATAAAACTAAGATTTAGGGACAGTTTAGGGGAAAATGGCAAAGGGGGAAAATGGCAAACATGATGATGATTTGAGGCAAATGCACTATATTGATGTTGTTTTGGCGGAGATTTTAACAATATGAAGCAAATGACTATATTTAAGTTGTTTTGAGCTATCTTAGCCCATTTCTCCTACCTTGGAAGCCCATTTCACCATTGTTTTACTTCTAAAAGTGGTAATATACTCTTTACCCTTTTTCATTTCTGTTTAATGAAAGCAAGAGGAATTCCTCTTGTAAAAATTTTGCAACAAAGAAGCAAGAGGAATTCCTTTTGCAGTTATGTAAATAAAAAAAGAAAAGGAAAACAATCAAGAACCAACCTAGCAAATCTTGAGTGGAAATAGCTAGCAGCCTAGCAAATCAAAGGTGCAAATAGCAAACCTTTAAAGGAATAGGAAATTTGCATCGGTAAGCAATCTAAAGGTAACAGAACAAGGTGTTAATGGGAAAGTTATCGATGATCGAGAGGTATTTTGGGTAGTTTCTTGTAGTTTCTAACAAGAGAACAGGAGATGCACATAAGTAATAGTTTCTAACAAGAGAACAGGAGATGCACATAAGTAATAGAAACCAATTGGTAAAATGTTAACGGTGATTGTTGTTTTGGGCCACCTAAGCCCATTAAGGCTACCTTGGAAGTGCTACTTATAATAAGGATTGATTAAGATGCATAAAAAATAATCATTTATAAATTTGAATTTTGAAATTTTTTTCATATTTTCATCATTTTTAAAATCTTTTTTATTTAAATACTTTAGTAATTATATATAATTGTTATATAGATTATATATATGTTTTTTTTATCATCAAAATTTAGTTAAACAAGTTTATGTTTTTTTAATATTAATGTTGAAATTTATCTTAAACAAATAGTTAAATTTTAATTTTTAGTTTTGATTTTATGTAATTGCAAAATTTGTAAAATTTATAACTAAAAAGCAAAATCCTAGCCATATTAATAACAAACTAAATTGAAAACATTTTTGTAGGGTCCATCTCCTTTGAGTCCATCTCCATCGTTCTTATTAATATGACTTATCTAGGCTTGTCTCATGAAATTAAATGAGAGAATATATATAATATAACGAATCAATCTTAAATAAAAACTTAATTAGATATCTTATGTCAACTGACACAATCATCTTATACATAATATTGTATAGTAAATATTGAAAAAGTAGTTTATTCTCATTTTTTTTTATGACAAAAGCAAATAATTCCATTGATAGAAGGCAAAAATAGTGTACAGCAATACATCAAATATTTCGCCTTAAAATCCCACTCAAACCCACACAAAGCTATTATTACAATATTCTCAAATAAAACAAATTAGTGGCTTGAGTTAGTCCTAGAAATCTCAAATTATTTTTAAATACTAAAAAATAAAACTAAAAATCTTAGAAACTAGAGGAGAGGAATCTAATTAAAAAAAGAAAGTCATTTTTCCTAATTAACCACCAAAACCCCTGATCCAAAGTATAAAAATTTTAAAAATCTTTAATTAGAAAATTCTTGATCAAACTTATGCAAATTTGTCAATTCCTTGATTTCCTTTCACAAGGATAACAACTCAAAAATCACTACAGCACTGCCATTACATCTCCTTCGCAAGCACCATTAGACCGAAACAAACCCATAACTAGCATCTCCTAGCTGTTGCCACACCACTAAGTGTTTAAACATATTAGAACACCAATTAACATGGGAGTACCATGAATTCACCATCATTAACAAAACCACCCTAGCCTTTGTTTTGTCAGAAACATGCTTACTTCATCCTCCACCGACAGGGATGGCCTACTTTCAATGCATCTACTAGTTTCGTTCATATCTTCAGCCATATATGCCCAACACCACCTCCTTCCCCCAACCAACCCTACCTCTCGCCAATGAACAACTAAGAAGTGCAACCTCTTAAAATACCATTGCAACTAGCTCTAAAACCCCCCAAAAAAGATTAATTAAAACTTAGACGACGCTAAGAAAAAGAAAAACAAAAAGTAAGCCAAGCCCCAAGAAATTAAAGAAATTTAATAAAAAAAAAAATAACAAACCAACAAAGAGCAAAAAGAGAAAGAAACAAGGGAAGAAAGAGACAGGAAAAAAGCGATGGTCAATTCTCAAAACCCCATTCTCTCTCAGCTGTTTCTCATTAAGGTATTGATTCATTGGGGTAAAAGAAAAAAATTTACCGAATAATAACAGCACCATAAAATTGTACCGTTGATGGAGATTGGAATATTGGACGGCAGCATTATAGAAAAAAAAAAAAAAAAACAAAGCACATGTGAGAAAATGAGAACCATAAGTCAAGAGCAATTAAGATATGATCCTCTGAAACCTCGGAAAATAACAAAAGAAACCGAATTGCATGTGTCGGTAGTCGCTGCTTGCGGAGTAAACCGCGTAAGACGTAACCTAGAAATATACGGTATATTTTTTTAAAAAAAGTAATTAATTAAAGCTAAAAAGCTGTTAAATTAAAAATTAGAAAGAAAATAAATTAATAATCGCTTAGGTTTATTCGGTTTCTTTCTACGTACCTTCCAATCACTTTATTTAAGCAAAGACTGGTTCTCATTTTCTTTTTCAATCTTCAAAAAGCATTACCAATTACTGTAACACGAGGAATCTCATCATTGGACAACACCCATTTGTTTGAAGTTTAACATCTTTTTGCAGTTCTCTTTCATCTTCCCAACTCTGACTTCCATTTGCAGAGTTGGGTTTGACAAATTCTGGCTCCAATACAAGGGGAAAGAAGCATTGATCTGGTGTGTTCTGGACCCAGATGTCTCCTCCCTCGTATGGAACTGCTTTTGCGGGAGGGACTGTTGGGAATAAGCAGAATTACATAGAGCATCAGGTGTCAAAGATGGATACTCTCGCTGGGGTTGCCATCAAGTATGGGGTAGAGGTACCTGTCTGTCCCTAATTCTTTCTTCTCTGTTTAATGGGTTTGGCTCCCCACTTGATTTACATCTGCATCTGGGTTTGGGGTAGGGAATTAGGAATGGGTTTGATTTCTCTCTTCTTATGGGTAATGGGTTAACTAGGATTCACTAGATTCTCCAACTTATTAGCTGCAATTTGTGATGGGAAATTGCTGATTTGTGAAAGTCATTATGAAAATGATAAGAGGTGTTTATATTTAAATAAACATGAAATTCGGTGATGTGGTTATGTTTTCATGAAATTTTTGTCATGCTGCATGATGTTTTTGAGACTGACTCTGGTGAACTGCGATCAATGGACAAATAGCACTTCTTTTTGCTATGTTAACTTTCACTGGGCTCTTTTCCCATTGGTTTTGTGTGGTTGAGGTGTTTTGTTTTGGTGTCTTCTAATGTAAATTCTTTTCAATGTATAGGTAGCCGACATTAAGAGGTTGAATGGTTTGTCCACCGATCTTCAGATGTTTGCTTTGAAGACATTGCTGATACCATTGCCAGGAAGGCATCCTCCGTCATCCAGTTTTTCCAGTGCTTCTTCTGCTTCTGTAGAGTATGATCCTACTCTTTCTTTCACACTGTGTTTAATTGTGTCATCCTTTCTTATTCTTAGTTTTGGTATTTTGCCTACTTGCAAAAATTAATACTTAAAATTTTGATTCCATCTATGATACATTGTGTGCTGTTATTCAGTGCTAACATTTTTAGGCTCTTTATCTTCAAAATTTTTTTAATGATTTCCTTGCCCTCCAATTATTTGTCTTTTGACAGTTTTCATCACTACTTTCTGACAAGTTTGGTGGAATAAGTTGTCCACCTTCCCTAAATTAGCATGAAATGACTATTAGAATATCTGTCCAAATGGTACTCTTTGTAATTTTCACCTGTCTCCTCCATAACTACTTAAGAGTGAGTTCATTTTTCTTTGGAAGAATGGGTATCTGGACCTCCCATGGGCATTTGCAAACTGCTCAGTCAATACTGAGCAAAACTCTACCCATGGGTGGCGGGTGTGGGCCGTTGGAATTGACTTAAGAGTGAGTTCATCATAATAGTGAAAATGTCTCTATTTTGATTTCACTTTTGAAGTTCCAACTTCCAACCTCTCAAGACTGAGGTTTATTTACAATGTTGTGAGCATTTGTCTTATGTCTCTTCTCAGTGCATTGACAGTAAGTTTGCTGAGAAGATGGTCATTTACTCTTTTTTGAGGATGCTTTCTGTTTTTTCTTTTGTCTATAAGCTTTGCATGTGAGGAAGTTTATAATGTTGGCCAAAAGAAAAGGACTTCATGCACAATGACTTGTTTATGACCTTAAACTGTGAACTGATTGAAAGGAGGTCTATCTTAAGAGGCTTATGCTGAAGAAAAAAAAAAAATACTGAACTGAATATTGTTATTGGTAGTGAACAAAGGACTTAGATTTGCATGGTCTGAGATGCATGATGATTGTTACTGTTTAAACCCTTAATTGGGATCAGAAAGATTTTGTGACTTGTCTGATACTCCTACCTGACTGCCAAATGAAAAAAAATTAAAATTAAAATAAAAGTCCCCAAGACTTAAAATGCTATGGCCTTTTTGTAAAGGCATCAATTTTTTTTTTTTTTTTTTTTGCTAATTTCTGAGAATCCTTCCTTCAGGCTTAAACCTGTAATTACAACTAAAGTGCTTAAAATGTAATTTATAGATAATTCAAGGATTATTTTGAAGATATACAATTTTTCTGGATTCATAACTGGCATAAAGAATGGCTGTTTCTTTTACTGTGTTGAACATTTTACATCTATCAAGCTTTTAGTTGTTTTCAACCTGGTGAATCTTTCTTATGTCTTTCTTGAGTTGGTTTTGTCGAATAGCTTTAATCTATGTTGAACAATCAATAATGGCATCTTTGTGTGCTTCTCTTCCAACTTTTTAGGGTTTGTTCCTCAGCTTGTCTCAGCAGCACTTCTTTTGACTTTTGCTTGAGATGGCCTGCTAGACTTTTAATTTTAGCAGAATTGTGAAGTAACAAAACTCTTCTTTAATTGCGAAGAGTGTGGTGGTGGACTTTTTACTCACTGCTTTGCCTTTCTATGGTTGATTTAGTTATTTTTTTCATTTGGTAAATAGTTGACTTCTGTGCTTGTATGTTGCTTACATGCATGTATTCTGCCTCATTTCTTTCTTGAAGTGTTGGCTAGTGTTTTACGTTTTTAATTGCTTCTGGTAAGAAAGAAACAATTCAATGATTTGTTTGCATTTTCTAGGTAGTGATGTCTGTGAGTCAATACCAACTTGAGCTTAGCGGCTTATTAGCCAATATGATACCCACTAACTGATTGCAACCAAGGTTGCAGAAAGCGCTAGGCAATGGTGGGCAGTTGCCCACAGCCTAGAGCCTAGAGTGCTTAGGCAGTGCCTAGGCAGCCTAGGTGGTTTTCTTTTTTAATAATAATTTTTTGATATAATTCTAAGAAAATAAGAAAAAAATGTAAAACAATTTTAAAAATTATAAAATAAATAGAAAAATTATTTTTTTTTTATTTCATTATCTGTCTAAAGAGCAGAATTTAGGGGAATTACTTGACATTTAATTTTTTGATATAATTCTAAGAAAATAAGAAAAAAATGTAAAACAATTTTAAAAATTATAAAATAAATAGAAAAATTATTTTTTTTTTATTCATTATTATGTCTAAAGAGCAGAATTTAAAGGAATTACTTGGTATTTAATGTTTTTTTAATATAATTTTTATAATAAATTAAACAACATCATTTCATTAGGCTAAAAAATTAATAAAAAGCATTTGCTCAAGCACTCT